AACTTCTATACAACGAAAGGAGACTGCGACCACACAAAAGGCCACACCATCTTGGTCTTCATATCTTCGCACTCCGTATTGTTTAAATTCCTTCTGATGCTAATACAAAATATTCCCCAAAGTAGAGCGAATCACCAATTATATTACACATATCTAGGTAAAAATAAAAATTTAGTAATAGATATATATATATATATATATATATATATGGAATAAGAGCCAAGATATCATACATGATTCTCTGGATAACCGAACATATTCCATAAGAACAATGTTACCTTTGAATAGTTTACTTACCAAACAATTTGAAAGAGGTCTCTCATTTTCAACGCTTCTGTGTTTATTCATCTCAGTTCTTGCTTTCCCACCATCATCCATAGCACTTTTTCCCCTAAGTCCCGTCGCAGACATAACAGCAGTTTTAGTTGTAGAAATGTCAGGCAAGGTAAGGTCAGGTAGCAGGCAGCCTTGATTGTTTGTCAAGTCGTTTATTACAAGTCGTTGTGCTCTAGCGACCCCCATCTCGGTGGGTAGATTGGCGACAGTATGCTCTATTGGTGGAGCTACATCAGCTATGATTTGCCTGTCGAGAATGCCAGTTCTATCAATTTCCGTCACCGGCTGACCTTGGATAGCGTCAGCCAGAGACTAGAAAATATGAGGAAGAGGGAAAACTCGATTTACTCCCTATAATCTAAATCCTAATAATTTGTATCAATGGAGTGTGTGTACCAGCATCAGGTAAAATATTTAAGATCATAATTAATTAGCATAATGGCGTTGAATCTTTACGTGCATTTTTCAATAGTATACTTTATACAAAATCCAGATTTTGTAGCTGACCATATATATATATATGAAGTTTTAAAAACTGTCAGTATCATATGCCACTGTTATCAGACTTGAGTTAACAATTTAAATAATGTAGATAGATCCCGCCGATAGTTCTTGATCCAACCCAGGTCCAGCTTCTCACTGGGGAGCAATCCAGTGTTCGAGGTTGTTTGATCTTGTTTTCGCAACTTCGTCATATTGATAGGAAAACTTAGAGGAACGCACCTTGTCCGGAGTCCATTGTATGCATTATAATTTCCAGAGTCGGAACATGGATGTGGTACATTTCCAGACGCATCGCCGGCATCGTAGTATGCATCGTCAGTGAGTCTCACTATTCTTAGCATTACACAACAACTCGTCAAAGAGACAAGTGAAGTCGATCCCTAGACCAAACGTGTGCAAAACAGTTGTGGTATCTCCCCTTCTGACCTTGCTATTCAAATTTACTATATCCTCGTATCACTCCTTCACTGTTACACTTTTTAACCGTGCTTATTTAGATGTAGTGTGGTATGCCCTTTTGAACGGCATTTATGAAAACCATTCACACTCCACGCTGTCGTTCTCACCCCCTTCACCTTTGTGCCCTACAAATGTTGTGGTACTGTTTTATTTCATTAGATTCAATGCTGGTTGGTTAGCACACAAGAGACTAGGGCATAGGAGGTCATAGAATTGGTATTAAAGATAGAAAGTGGATAGAAGCAGTGGTAGCTGGAGCCAGTTGGCTAAAAATAGTCGTGATTCAAGGATCACGTGTATGATCAAACACGTCTATTGTTAGCCAAATAGCTCTAGTCTCCACCGCGTCTTTCCTGTTTCTATCTGTAATACCATGTCTATCACTTCCTATGTCCTAGTCTCTTGTGTGCCAACCCACAATTGTCGTGATTCTATTTTTTTATAAGGCTCACTAAAGACGTCTCCTCTGCTTCTGATTGTTCCTTTCTCATTCCCCTGCGATCGCTTTACCTAAAATTAAGGATAATACCTTGATCCAGTCGTCTTATCTTTGCTGATCCTGCTGTTGCCTGGTCTTCTCCCAGTTTGTTTAGGCAATACGCAAAGTTTTTGCTAATCCTGCCTTCTTCAAGTCTCCTGTTCATTAGATTTCTCTCCCTCAGTGTATTGATGGCCTCTCGGATCTTCCGTTTTCTCGTATTTTCACAATATGCAGCCAACCTTTCAGTCGATTTCCAGTCGATTTCGTGCCTCGTTCGTGAAATGTGTTCTGCAATTTCGGATCTTTTCGTATCCATGTTTCTGCAGACTCTGTGATGTTTCTTAATTTATTGGCAGATTTTTCTTATTGTTTCATCAATATACTTCTGCTCACAGCTGCCGCATTTGATGCAATAAGCTCACGAGCATACAAGTTTCTTCGTCTTCTCATGCTGCGTTGGCAGAGTGTTATCTTCTCCTTTGTTATCACTCAGATATTCCATTTCCTTAGTAACGGTCGAAATTGTTGGCTCAGATCAGATGAGGGCAGGTAACTCCACTTCTGGTCGTCCTACTGATTCCGATTTGATTTTTATAAAATCAGAGTCAAAATCTGCCATTTTTGAACACTACATTTTTTTAATAAATTATTTTGGGTACCAGTTAGTAAGGCAAATTCGTGTCAGTTTGTCCAACTCTTCGTCCCAGAACTCAGTGTTCGTTAGTCGTAAGCTTCTGATGATCAAGCTCTTCACTATTCCTATCTTCAGTCTGTGGTGATGGTGTGACTAAAAATTGAGGATTATTCCTGCATATTAATCTTTTCTGTATAGTCTCCTCATGAGTGTTTCTTTGGAGCGCATGAATTCAATATACAGAAAGAGTGGTCGTTCGCATTTCACTTCTACTTTAGGATTGGTATAAAAACAAAAGAAGAAAAGTTGGGTTTCGAGGACTCTCCTGTTTCATAATTGTTGGGATTACTTCCATTTCGAGTAGAAG